CACTCTTTCCCCTGCCCCTCCTGCACCTACCTAGGCCCTGGTCCGCAACATATCAGGCTCCCCAGCCCTTGGCATTCCCGTCAAAGTTTCTGCCAAGTTGTCTTCTGGATCTTCTTCTAAAAACCAGGACTTTCAACAAAACACCGACAGGAGCGGCCAAGTCATTGTTCCCATTGCTGTCTCTCCAACAACCTCAGAAGTGCAGCTTTTGGTAGGACTCCTCCTCACGGGAGAGGGAGGAGAAGGAGAGAGGGTTCCCGGGCTGAGAGGAGAAGCTGGGTACCTGAGTCTTTGCCACTGACCCTGCCACCCTGGCCCCCCTCTTCAGGTGTCTGCAGGCTCCACCCACCCTATCACAGGCAGGCTCACCGTGAGAGCCCCCTCGTCACGAAGCTCCGGGTTTCTGTCTATTGAGCAGCTGAATCCTCAACCCCCTAAAGTCGGGGACACCATTAACCTAAACCTGCGAGCCGTGGGCATCAGTGGGAACAGCTTCTCTCATTTCTACTACATGGTGTGCATGCGCTGGGTTGTAGCAGAGGACGGGTGCAGGAGGGTCTCAGGCAGGAAAGGACCCTTGGGGTCGGGTGGCAGTTTCAGGGCTGAGGATGTGCAGTGAAGAAGACACCACTCTTGCCCCAGATCCTATCCCAGGGCCAGATCGTGTCTGTGCATCGAGAGCCCAGGAGGACACTGACCTCCGTCTCCGTGTTTGTGGACCATCACCTGGCACCCTCCTTCCACCTGGTGGCCTTCTACTATCATAGGGGCCTCCCAGTGGCCAATTCCCTGCGAGTGGACGTTCAGGCTGGGGACTGTGAGGGCAAGGTAACTGGCATTGGGAGAGATAGCATGCATATATGTATTGGGGGGAAGTTAAGAGAGAAAGAAGACAGGGTGATTGCAAACAAGGTGTGGGTCTAGTTTGGGGTGCACTGGGGAAGCACATGACTGAAATCTCTCTCTACTCTGACTGCCCTCTACCTCCTGCCTCTGCCAGCTGGAGCTGAATGTGGATGGTAGCAAGGAATACCGTCCTGGGGATACTGTAAAGCTCCACCTGCAGACAGATTCTCCAGCCCTGGTGGCACTGGGAGCTGTGGACATGGCTCTGTATGCTGTGGGCAGCAAGTCCCAGAAACCCCTTGACATGGTCAAGGTTTGTCAAGCCCCTCTCCCTCATCCTCCATCCCCTCCATCCTCATTCTCCTGCCGCTTTGAGCCCTGGGCCCAGCCCCTAGATCTCACTCATGGCTCCTCCCAGTCTTCCCGCAGGCCTTGGCCCCCGTGGACTCTATCCCCCTCTTTCGGATTTGTCCATACCCTGCCTTCTCACCTGGAGCTGAGTGGCCGACGTGTCCCACAGCCACTCCTGTCTCTGCAACATCTCTGCCTTTTCTCACCAGGTCTTTGAAGCTATGAACAGCTATGACCTTGGCTGTGGTCCTGGGGGTGGGGACAGTGCCCTTCAGGTGTTCGAGGCAGCTGGTCTGGCCTTTTCTGATGGAGACCAATTGACCTCTACCAGAAAGAGTGAGCACAGAGGAGGAGGGAACGTGGGTGGTGGGAAGATGGGGAGGAAGTGGGGCTGGAGGGGGTAAGACAGGAAGAGGAGGGGTGAGAAGGGCTGGGCTGGGAGACGGAGCAAGGAGAGAGGGTGGGAGGCCACATAACCCCCACGGCTGGCTGCAGTCCTTCTCTCTACCAGGTCTGAGCTGTCCCAAGGAGACAAAAACCCGGAAAAAGAGAAACGTGAACTTCCAAAAGGCAATTCAGGAGAAGTGTGAGTTGTGGGTGCCTGTGAAACCCTCTACTTGGGCCCCAGGATCAGGGTGGGGTTTGGCCTGTTGGCTCCTCGGCTTCTGGGCAAGCCAGTACCTGGTGCTCAGGGCCAGAGACCCAAGTCCCAAGCTTGAAGGTGCGCAGGTGGGAGGCACTCTCCTTCGGCCTCTCTGGAGTTCCTGGTCCCTCAGGGTGAGTCCTTGTGCATCTTGAGGTCAGGCTGGGAGATGAGGCATGTCTCCTTTTTGTTCCCTCCTGCTCACCCTCGCCTGGCCCCGCAGTGGGCCAGTACGCTTCCCCCATGGCCAAGCGCTGCTGCCAGGATGGGCTGACGCGACTGCCCATGGCGCGCACCTGTGAGCAGCGGGTGGCTCGTGTGAAGCAGCTGGACTGCCGGGAGCCCTTCCTGTCCTGCTGCCAGTTTGCTGAGGGCCTGCGCAAGAAGCTCCAGTCCAAGGACCAGGCAGGCCTTGCCCGAGGTGAGGGGCTGGATGGGGCCAGGGGACTGGCAGGGGCAGCTGGAGGGGCAGAACGGCCCCTCCTCATTGCCCTCCACTGTGGTCCCCCAGCCATGGAGATCCTGCAGGAGGAGGAACTGATGGATGAAGATGACATCCCCGTGCGCAGCTTCTTCCCTGAGAACTGGCTCTGGAGAGTGGAGACAGTAGACCGCTTCCTCCAGTGAGAGCGTGTGGTGGGCCTGGCCTTGTCTCTGGGAGGTGTCTGGGATCAGCCCGGGGCGTGACAGAGTGTGTCATCTTTCCCATTGCAGATTGGCACGGCCGCTCCCTGACTCTCTGACCACGTGGGAGATCCATGGCGTGAGCCTGTCTAAAAGCACAGGTGCAGTCACCCTGTCTGGGCCTATGGCCTTCCTCTACCATGCCACCTTGACCAGGCTCCCTTTGCTCTTGGTACGGGATGGCGGGGCAGAGACATGAAGTCGGCACGCCATGCACCAGGCCTGAGAAGCCAGAGAGTAGGGACAGGAAGGGGCGGAGCTAGGACCCCAATGCTGTGATGCCCGCAGGCCTCTCATATCTGCCCCCTCCATCCATCAGGCTTGTGTGTGGCTACTCCTGCCCGGGTCCGAGTATTCCGGGAATTCCACCTGCACCTCCGCCTGCCTGTCTCTGTTCACCGCTTTGAGCAGCTTGAACTGCGGCCTGTCCTCTACAACTATCTGGATGCAGATATGACCGTGAGGCCCCTTGGGAGCCTGAGCGTTCGGAGGTAGGGGGTAGGCAGGTGAAGGGTGGGGAGCCTAACTGGGCTGGGGCTCTGGCCCTCCCCATCTTTCTGTCCCCAGGTGAGCGTCCACGTGTCCCCAGTGGAGGGGCTGTGCCTGGCTGGGGGTGGAGGGCTAGCCCAGCAGGTGCTGGTGCCCGCGGGCTCTGCCCGGCCTGTGGGCTTCTCTGTGGTACCCACAGCGGCTGCAGCTGTGCCCATTAAGGTGGTGGCTCGAGGATCCTTGGAGTTCCCTGTGGGGGACGCAGTATCTAAGGTTCTACAAATTGAGGTGAATGGAACACCCCTGAATCTAGGTCCCCAGGCTCCCAGAATTAACCCCCACAACCCTGAGCCCCTCTCTACTGGCCAGACCAGAGACCCAAATCCAATGCTCTGGTCTGTTTGCGTCTTCTATAATTCTGATCCGACTCTGCCCCTGAAGTTCAAACTCCAAGTCCTGAGGAGTCTGCATTGGGAGGGGCAGGCTGTGGTCCTGTGTGATCTCTCACAGCTGTGTTTCCCCTGAGACAGAAGGAAGGGGCCATTCACAGGGAGGAGATGGTCTATGAACTCAACCCCCTGGGTGAGTGACCCCCACCCCCAGCCATCAGTGTCCTAAGAGGGTTGTAGGTCGCAGGGGATGTAGACAGCAGGACAGATTACCGACTTCTGTCATCTCCCCAGACCCCCGAGGCCGGACCTTGGAAATTCCTGGCAACTCTGATCCCAATATTATCCCTGATTCAGATTTCAGGAGCTTTGTCAGGGTCACAGGTGAGAGTGTCCTCTAGTCCCTTCCCAGTGGCCCCCCTTGGAGTCATGTGAAACCTATAGACCTGTTTGATCCCATGACACCATGATCCTCTGACCCTGGGTCCCCCGACCTGCTCTCTGATCCTTAACTCTTTCCCTCCCCTATAGCCTCAGATGCATTGGACACTTTGGGCTCTGAGGGGGCCTTGTCACCAGGAGGCCTGGCCTCCCTCCTGAGGCTTCCCCAGGGCTGCGGGGAACAAACCATGGTCCTCTTGGCTCCAACATTGGCTGCTTCCCGCTACCTGGACAAGACAGAGCAGTGGAGCAAGTTGCCCCCTGAGACCAAGGACCACGCTGTGGATCTGATCCAGAAAGGTTCTGGGCGCAGTAACAAGCAGGAACTGGGGCCAGGAGAGGGCAATTAATGGAGGCTAGGCAGCCCAGGTGGCTGGAAGGGGGAAGAGAGAGGGTGCCCAATGGAAATGGGGAGCACGGCTTCGGGCACAAATAGTGGGAGAGTCAGTGTCACCTCAGTAGCCACCTCTTCTCTCCAAGGCTACACGCGGATCCAGGAGTTTCGGAAAACAGATGGTTCCTATGGGGCTTGGTTAAAACGGGACAGCAGCACCTGGTGAGTTTGGGAGAGAGGTTCTGGGTTTCCGAAAGGGGCCGGGGCTGGTGGGGGCAGAACCAGGTACAGTGGGAGGGTAAATTACCAGGTGCCTGGGGGAGTGGGGCCATGCCCCTTGTAGAAACCAGCCTCTATCCCCAGCCATTCCTTTCTCCCCTCTAGGCTCACAGCCTTTGTGCTGAAGGTACTAAGTTTGGCCCAGGAACAGGTGGGCGGCTCACCTGAAAAGCTGCAGGAGACGGCCGAGTGGCTGCTGTTGCAGCAGCAGGATGACGGGTCATTCCAGGACCCCTGTCCAGTTATGCACAGGGAAATGCAGGTGTGGGGCTGGGAGGCTGGGTCAAGGAGCACAGGTGGGAAGAGCCTCCCAGCTCCTGACCCTCCTGGTTGACGTCTTCTCTTCCCCCCGCTTCAACTAGGGGGGCTTAGTGGGAAATGACGAGACCGTGGCACTCACAGCCTTTGTGGTCATCGCCCTTCAGCACGGGCTGGCTGTCTTCCAGGACAGGAATTCAGAGCAGTGGAGGAGAGTGGTAAGACACCTGTGCGTCTGCCCTTCGCGGGTCTCCCTTCTCCTCAGGAACCCAGGTGTCCAGCCCCGAGAACTTCCTCCCCACTTTCTTCTAGGAAAACTCCATCTCCAGAGCAAACACATTCTTGGGAGCAAAAGTAAGTAGTGGGCTCCTGGGCACCCATGCAGCCGCCATCTCAGCCTATGCCCTGTCGCTGACCAAGGCCCCTGAGGACCTGCGGGATGTTGCCCACAACAACCTCATGGCCATGGCCCAGGAGACTGGTGGTGAGGGAGCCTGGGGCTCGGGGGACCTTGGGAACCTTGAGTGTGCTCACAGGGGGAAATTGAATGAAGGAAGGCCCCCAGAGGGAATCAGGGCACGAGCAGGGACGACTGGGGTAGAATCAGGAGAGGCTGACGGGGAGCGTCAACAGCCAGGCAACTAGCATCCTCCCCCTGTTCACCTGTGGTTCTCCTTTCACTCCCAGATAACCTGTACTGGGGCTCAGTCATCAATTCTCACAGCAACGTCCTGCCACCCACCCTGGCTCCTCGCAGCCCAGCAGACCCCATGCCCCAAGCCCCGGCCCTGTGGATTGAAACCACAGCCTATGGCCTGCTGCACCTGCTGCTTCGGGAGGGCAAGGCCGAGATGGCTGACCATGCTGCGTCCTGGCTGACCCGCCAGGGCAGCTTCCAAGGGGGATTCCGCAGCACCCAGGTAGAGGCTGCCCTGGGGCTCTGGGGGATGAGTGGTCCTGAGACCAAATGCCTGAGTCCTGGCCCAACATCCCCAGGACACGGTGATCGCCCTGGATGCCCTGTCTGCATACTGGATCGCTTCCCACACCCCTGAGGAGCAGGGGCTCAATGTGACTCTCAGCTCCATGGGCCGCAGTGGGTTCAAGTCCCATGCGTTGCAGCTGACCAACCACCAAGTTCAGGGACTGGAGGAGGAGCTGCAGGTGAACCCTTCCCTCACCTGGGTTGCCAGGACGCCTGGGCCTACCTCCGCCAGGCCAGAAGCCATCCCTGGGCCCCGCCCCCATAGAATCCCCAGGGCACCTCTTTCTGATATCTTTGCTGGAAGTCTTACTGGCTGTGTGAACTTGAGAAAGTCACCAAGCCTCTGAGCTTCCTTTTTCTCGTCTGAAAATGATGCATGCAAAGTCTACCCCACAGGGGTTTTAGGAGGCTGCAGTGAGAGAATGCATGTGAAAGTGGAAACTTTGTGGAAATGTGAGATGGGGAGAAGAGGTGGGGTCGTTTTTCGGGAGGAGGTAAATTAGAGCAACAAACAGTGTGCCCTCTGACATCTCTTTCCCTTTTTTGTTTCTGAAAGTTTTCCTTGGGCAGCAAGATTAATGTGCAGGTGGGAGGAAACAGCAAAGGAACCTTGAAGGTGAGAGCTGGCTGGATGCCTGGAGCCAGCAGGATGAAGCTGGGGTCTTGAGTGGGAGACCTGTGGGCACACCAGGGCTGGCATCCCCTGTGCTCTACCCTGGGCACTTCCCCACTACTCTGGTCTCCACTCTTTCTGAGCACCTGTTGTTCCTTTTACCCCCTCGGTGCTGATGCTCCAACACCTGGCACCTCAGTCCCAGCCTCCCTCTTGAGCTCCGGGTCCTTGTGTCCCACAGCACCTTAGACATGGTTGTGCCCTAAGCCCCTTCTTCCTCCTGCATCCCCTTGTCTGGTTGATGGTGTCCCTTCCCTGCAGGAGCCCGGCTGTCACCCCAGGGGCCATCTTAGTGCCCCTACTTCCCGAGCCCCTCATGACCCCAGTACCTCCTCCTCTGCTCCTACCCCAGCCCTGCCCACCCTCCCCAGACAGATCCACCCACCTGCACTGATCTTCTTGCCTTGAACGTGCTTCCCCTGCTTCTTGTCCCCCCTGACAAATTCATTGTCCTCCTTCAAGCCTCAGCTGGAAGCCTTTCCTGAACTTTCCATTCCAACCTCTTCTGTGCACTGTGTAGAATGCTTGCCCCCAGGCCTGGTCCTTGCTTCCCACTCTCTCACCGTCTAACCCAACACCTGGGCCCATTCCTGGACTGGTCCGGGAAGGGGGTGAGAAGGGGCCGAAGGCCTCGGACTCCTTAGCTCAGGGAGGTCCCTTTGGCGTGGCTCTGGAGAGAGCTCTGTGGCCCCAAATGTCCTCTCTCCACCCCTTGCTGAGCCAGGTCCTTCGTACCTACAATGTCCTGAGCATGAAGAACACGACCTGCCAGGATCTTCAGATTGAAGTGATAGTTGTTGGCCACGTCGAGTACACGAGTGAGTGTTGAGGTCAGAGGTGGTGGATCCCTGAGAGACTGGTGCCAGGACTGAGCCACGATGCTGTCCCCATGCAGTGGAGGCGAATGAAGACTACAAGGACTACGAGTATGAGGACCTGCCAGCCAAGGATGACCCAGCGGCCCATTCCCAGCCCGTGACGCCCCTGCAGCTGTTTGACGGACGGAGGAACCGCCGCAGGAGGGAGGCACCCAAGGTGGCCGAGGAACAGGAATCTAGGGTGCAGTACACCGTGTGCATCTGGTGAGCTCTGGGGGCGGCCTGGGGCGCGTGGGGCACTGCTGGGCGGGGAGAGGGCAGGACCGAGGTTGGGCCAGGTGACTACAACCTGGCACGGTTGGGACCCAGACAACAGGGTGCATCTCCCCACAGGCGGAATGGCAAGGTGGGGCTGTCGGGCATGGCCATCGCGGACATCACCCTCCTGAGTGGATTCTATGCCCTGCGGGCCGACCTGGAGAAGGTGTGGCCAGCTGCCCAGAGGGGCCCCTTGTGCCCTCGGGAGCCCTGCTCCATCCCCACAAGGCCCCCAGCTGCTGAGCCCGGTCATGCGCAGGGCCCAGGACTGCCTCCCTGTGACCGGCTCCCCTTCCCCACAGCTGACCTCCCTCTCTGACCAGTACGTGAGTCACTTTGAGACCACGGGGCCCCACGTCCTGCTGTACTTCGACTCGGTGAGCAGGGAGGATGACGGGAGGCACTCATGGCACTGGGTTTCCTGAGCTGGTGCTGAGGTTTCCCAGGAAGCAGCTGTACCTGCAGCTAGTGCTCTTAGAGAGAACTTGTGATGTGAGCAGAGAGATGGCGCAAGAGTGCCCCGGGGCAGTTAGGGGGGCCCCGGGTGGGGGGGCCGCGGGCGGGGCCAGTGCCAGTCAGCAGGGAAGAGCTTGAGAGTGAGCCTCTCGTAAAGCTGAATTCATTCAGTTTGAGGAGCTACTTTTGTTTTGTTCTCTTGTTGACCTTCCCGTTTTGGTTTTTTTTTTTAATATGGAAGTATATTTTGATTTTTAAAATGATAATGGTCCTAGATGAGTTGTTTTTGTTTTTTCATGGCCTTATTTGGCTAAAACAGAGAGTTATCAACCCTCTGATGACCCTCCAAAAATGGTTTTTGAACATTTTCTCTAACCTCTTGGAGAAAATGTGAAAAAGGCATGTTAACACTTAGCCAGGTGTTTGTGGATCAGGGAAGACCCTCCCTGCCCAGTGCATGCAGAGGGCACAGACCCTGTTAGCTTGAGAAGCCAGGCAGAGCAGTCTGGTTGAACACAGTGGAAAATGAGGAACCAGGAAGATTTCAAGGCAGGGAGCTAACTGCAGCTTAGGAGGGAGACTAGCAGGGTACCAGGCTGGACTGGACTGGTGTGGGCATGAGGAGAAGTTTCTGGGCCTGAGTATGTGTGGTGGGGTCACGGGGGCCAGGCAGAGTGGCAGCACCTGCCCTTAGGTTGCGGCAGACTAAGGGAGGCCTTAGTTGTATCAGTGCCGAAGTGAGGCTGTCAAGTGGGTAAGTGGGTGGGAGAATGGGGGAGGGGGCAGGCTGAGTGAATTTGGAGAATTTAATACAGCCTGTAAAAATCTTAATGCAAGAAGAAGGCGGAATGTTTGGTTCGGGAATCACCAGCCTGGGAAATTTTGGGGAGAACCAGGGAGCCATGTGACCTCCACGGGGTGGGGAGCACAGAGGAGGGGAAGGCCGGCCTGGGGACTGTGCCTCTGGGAGGGCGGAGGAGGAGGGAATGTCAGGAATGATCAGATCAGAAGCCTGGGTGGTCGGGAAGCTAACCCTGAGCTTAGGAGAATGTGTCCATGATGTGAGACCCTGCAGAGGGGCCCGGGGCACTGGGGACTGGGATGCCTGCGCCATGCAGGCAGTGAAGTCAGCAGAGACCTTGGGGAGCAGCTTTTAGAAATCCGGAGGCTGGAAGGTAACCAAGTGTGAAGGACACTGGAGCTGAGATAACAGGAACCAAACAGAGACAGGCCAAGGAAACACATCACAGCAGCCTGTGGGGCCCTGACCTCTCCTCCTCCCCACCTTCCCCCACAACGCCAGGTCCCCACCTCCCGGGAGTGTGTGGGCTTTGGAGCTGTGCAGGAGGTGCCCGTGGGGCTGGTGCAGCCGGCCAGCGCCGTCCTATATGACTACTACAACCCCGGTGAGCACTTCGGCAACACTCGGGAGGTTTGGAATAGGTGGCGGTGAAGGGTGACAGGGGAGTCCTGTGGCTCCATGGGACCGGGAGACAGAGAAGGGGGCATGCACCCTAACTCTCCCCTCTGTGCTCTTCTCCAGAGCACAAATGTTCTGTGTTTTACGGGGCACCAACCAAGAGCAAACTCTTGTCCACGTTGTGCTCTGCCGACGTCTGCCAGTGTGCTGAGGGTGAGACCCAGGGCCTGGGGGCCGGGGTGGGAAGACGGTATGGTTGGGGTCGACACTCTCTCATCTGGGCCCCTGATTTCAGGGAAGTGCCCTCGACAGCGGCGGGCCCTTGAGCGGGGGCTGCAGGAGGTGGATGCTTACAGGATGAAGTTTGCCTGCTACTTTCCCCGCGTGGAGTATGGTCAGTCTTCCTGCCCCAGCCCCAGGCCCAGCCCTGGCCCTGGCCCTGGCCCATCCTAAGGGTCTCTCTGATTGTGCCTGCTCCTCTCAGGCCCCCGGGCAGCCTTTCTGCTCTGCACTGAGGGCAACTAACCTCCCCTCCCTTCTCCTGAACTCCCTCGTAGGCTTCCAGGTTAAGGTTCTCCGAGAAGATGGCAGAGCTGCTTTCCGCCTCTTTGAGACCAGCATCATCCAAGTCCTGCACTTCAGTAAGAAGGGGACGGATAAGTGGGCAGGGCTGCGGGGATACAGGGGAGCTTTGGGGCCTGGCCGCCTGGAATAGTGAAATTTCAGCCAAATCTGAGCTCAAATCACCTCGGCCTCTTAGAAGCTCTGGGCTTGTCCATAAATAGAAAAGCAGTCACACCTCCTTGCTAGGAGTGGTGGGTCAGATGAGAGGCTTGACAAAGAGGCAAAGCCCCTGTCCTGCACCTTCTCCTCCCCCGTGACAATGCTTGTGGACGTTCTCCCCTCAGCCAAGGATGCCAAGGCCAAGGCTGGTCAGACCCGAAACTTCCTGGTTCGAGCCTCTTGCCGCCTTCGCTTGGAACCTGGGAAAGAATATTTGATCATGGGTCTGGACGGGAGCACCTATGACCTCAAGGGAGAGTGAGTTCTCTGGGCCCCTCGGTCTCTTGCTCTCCTCACACCTCACGCCGTACCCGTGCCCCCTCTGAAGCCAGGTGCCTCTCATGCTCTGCTGCCTGAGCATTGCCCTGCCCCCTGCTGACTGCCCCTTTGCCCCTACAGCCCCCAGTACCTGCTGGACTCGAACAGCTGGATCGAGGAGATGCCCTCGGAGCGCCTGTGCCGGAGCAGCCGCCAGCGGGCAGCCTGTGCCCAGCTCAATGACTTCATCAATGAGTACAGCACCCAGGGCTGCCAGGTGTAGCGGCTGCCCTCCTGCCTGCCCCGGGAGGAGCCTGAGCCAGGGAAAGCTCACGCCTGGATGGGTGCTGTGCCTGGTCCCCTGAACATAGCCCCAGGCAGGACCGGGGACTCAATAAAGGCCTTTGGCAGCAAAGTGTCAGTGTGCCTCTCCAGGGCTGGGACCAGTATCCCCACCGCCCCTTCCAGGTTTGGGGGGCCCAGGCCAGGGGTTGCATAATCTTAGGCTGTCAGAGCTGAGGTGACCCTTGCAGTGTCCAGCTCTGCCTGAACCCTACCCCACACCCCCACAGATGACTCCCTCGGAGCTCAGTCTCTCATAGGACCACCCCAAGCAGACTTGTGACCCAACAGATCACCCTGCACTCTGGGGATCCAATGTCCACACCAAGGCCTCCCTTCCACTGTGCCTGCAGGGCCCTCCCTGCGCCCAGGCAGTCCGTCACTGCGGCCTTCGGCGGGGCTCGTGCTGACCAGCACCTCAGCCCTTCTGCCTCGGGAGCAGTGTCCAGCCACACGTCTTCCACTCTGGCATCATGCAGCTGGCAGTCGAGACCTGGCCCGTTTGGCACTCAATCCCTTAATTAGCCGCATTATGTAACTCTCCCAGAAGGTTGTGCAATCTTCAGGTCAATGATGTCTGCATCTAGAGGCTGATTTTAAACAAACCAAAAGGCCGACTTTGGTGTATTTGTTAATTCTCTGCAGGGACTGCTATTCTACTGGGGTCAACCCTTGCCACCTGCCTGTCCGGCTCTTCCCATTGGGTGGCACTCCTTGGGTCTTCAAGGCTGACCTAGAAGTTCATTGAAAAATTTGCTGAAGATTGGCTAATAAAGCAAGAGCCTACAAGAGACCCACTTTAGGGTGAAGGACACACATAGATTGAAAGTGAGAGGATGGAGAAATTTGATGAGTAATTTTGATGGAAACAGAGAGCACAACAGCCTGCCATTCAACCATTTAACAGAAATTTGTGGAATTCTCCCTCCATGCCATGCCTCGTGCCAGGCCCCCACCCTCCATGAAAGGTGTGATGTCAGGGAGCTGCAAGGTCCTGTGCGGCACAGAGTTGAGGCATCTGACTCAGTCTGGGGGTATGTGAGGAGTCCAGGGGAGGCTTCCTGGAGGAAGTGACATCTAAGTTGGATTCTGAAAGATAAAGAGTAGGGATAGATGAGAGTGTTTGTGGTAGAAGAAAATATAAAAGGCCTAGAGGCTAGGGACAGGACAGGGCACATTTAGGGGCACGGCATGTAGACATTCATGTCTGGGATTTTGATGTGGAGGTGGTGTGGAACAGATGGGGCTGGCAAGGTAAATGGTGTCAGTTCATGAAGGGATGGTCACAAGCATGCCAGCATTCCAGGTCTCTCTCCTTTTGAGTGGAGGCCCCCTTCTATCCCAATGTAGCTTTGAGAAGTCCTGACCTTCGCCAGTACTTCAGAGGCTTCCGAGGACTGTTGTTTACATGGCCCGGTTGCTGCCCATCAGATCTCTCCCAAAGGCTGATTGGCCTGGTGGTGGCATAAACCCATTTGTAAGAACAAGAGATTAAGCTAACGCTTGTGTCAAGATGTGGCCTGGGGCTGGGAGGTCAACCACAAGGAAGGTACCAGCTGTTGCTGCCCAATCCCAGAAACCCCACCCCATTTTCTCCCTCCTCACCCTGGGCATGGATCTGGGCTGAGCCTCCTCCATCGGGACCCCCAGCGGTTAACGCTTCAAGCTAGTGGGTGGCACAGCCTTGCTCTGGTTAAATCTCTGAGCATCCCAACCCCACTGGGGTCAGTTCAAAAAGCCAGGGATGGGGAATTGGGAGATGCATGGGCCTCAGATCACCTCTAAGCCATCAGCCCCACCGCTTAGATGCCCCAAACTTTCACTGAAACCTGCTGCCTCTCTTTGGCATGACCTCTCCCCAAGCCCTTCCTATAAGCCCCTCCACTGCCTCCTCACCTGTAAAAGTGGTCCCTGACAGCCCTACTTGATCCAGTGGGACCCCACCCCTTATGGCTATGGCTCCCAGAATAGGGCTGGAGCCCTGATCCCAGCTGTAGTTATCAAGTTCCCTCCTGGGGACTTTGGAATCAACGGGGGGCATGTTCAGCGAGGAAACCCCACTTGCCCTGGGGCTAGACCTGTAACCTGTGGGCTCTAACACCGAAGGCAGCCCTGTTCTGCCTGCACCTGGGAGCACAAGCAGCTTGACTGCGGAGAGGGAGGAGGGGTCAGCAGGCAAAGAGGAGGGAGGAATGAAGAATGAGGGATCGGCCCCGTTTCTAAAGCTTTTCTTGTCCCCTATCCCTGACCTTCCAAGGCCAATAGGTCCCTCGTACTTTCCTGCTCTTGGGTTCCAGAAGATACCCCTGTATTTATAGAACAGTTGTGTTTGGCTCAAGCCAGATCAAGTGGGTCACTTTTCCTTGCAACCAACGAGCATCAGGCACGTGGTAAGAGCTCCAAATTGGGGGACCATGTAATTCTTCATCTTCAACTTTTGAGAGTGAAATGGGGCACTATTAATGATGACACTGGGGCTACAGGTATAAACTGGGATAACCCAGGCTAACCAGGATATCTGCATCCTCTACATGGAAGTTACAAAAACACACAGATCACTTTCATCTCAGTTTGTTCTTCAGGAAATCCTGGAGGGCGTATTAGTCAGGGATTGTCATTTTCCCTCCGAGACAAACTCCAGAGCAGGAATCTGCTCTAAGGTGGGGTGGGAGCGGGAGCAGGCTCAGACCGGAGAGTGGCCACTTCTTCCTGTATGATTGACGTGTAGCCAGAAAGTGGATTCTAGCTGTTCGAGAAGGTCAGGGTTGTGTTTCCCTTCCTTTCTTCTTGATAGATGAATGGAAAAGGCCTGCTCTTTGAAATGGGGATTTTCCAAGGCCAAGAGGACTGGTGCCATTCCAGGAATGTGCCACTTTGTGGGCGGTACAGTGGGCAGGGGCCTGAGAGAAGGACTCAAGGGAGGTCTCAGAACCGCCCAAGTAGCCAGATGGATGAGGGTCTCAAGAGCTATAAGTGGCCGGGCCAGGGCCTTGGCATGGGTCTCCAACCATGGTCCCCGTGGGGCTGCTGCTGCTGCCGCTGCTGCTGGCCCTGCTAGCCGGCGCTCGCCTGCTGTGGGGCCAGTGGAAGCTCAGGAGCCTCCATCTCCCCCCTCTTGTTCCTGGCTTCTTGCACCTGCTGCAGCCCAACCTCCCCATCTATCTACTTGGCCTGACTCAGAAACTCGGGCCTATCTACAGGCTCCGCCTTGGGCTGCAAGGTGAGAGGCTGCTCCCTCCCCGGCCCCACCACAGCGGGGAGGGGCAGTCTGCTCCCTGCTGACCTCCTTCGTTTCCTTTCCCCAGATGTGGTGGTGCTGAACTCCAAGAGGACCATTGAGGAGGCCATGGTCAGGAAGTGGGTGGACTTCGCTGGCAGACCCCAGATACCATCCTGTAAGGGGAGGGGGCGTTTCCGGAAGAAGCAGGGGCTGTGGGAGGCAGGGAAGGGCAGGCCCATGGCTTCCTTGGTCAGTTGGACACCCCACCCCCAACCCCTACTCACAGACAAGCTGGTGTCTCAGCACTGTGAGGACATCTCCCTGGGGGACTACTCCCTGCTCTGGAAGGCCCACAAGAAGCTCACCCGCTCTGCCCTGCTGCTGGGCATCCGCAACTCCATGGAGCCCTGGGTGGAGCAGCTGACCCAGGAGTTCTGTGAGGTAAGGCTGGACTCCCGCAGTCCCCCGGGGTTAGCTTCGCCCCTCTTGGCAGGCCCCCTATTTAGTTCACGCCCCTTTTCCATAGCGCATGAGAGCCCAGGCCGGTGCCCCTGTGACCATCCAGAAGGAATTTTCTTTCCTCACCTGCAGCATCATCTGTTACCTTACCTTTGGAGACAAGGTCAAGGCTCTCTTGCTCTCACAGATGTTTGGGCCCACCCCACAGCCCCTCCCTGGCCCTCTCCTTGTCCTGAACTGAAAGGATCCCATCCTTTCCCAGCAGGAGGAGACCTTAGTACATGCCATTCATGACTGTGTCCAAGACTTGATGAAAACCTGGGACCACTGGTCCCTCCAAATGTTGGACATGGTTCCCTTTCTCAGGGTGAGGAGACGGAGCCCCGGAACACCTGGGTCCTGGGAGAAAGGGTGGGGGGAATAGGCTTCCTTCCCAGCAGCTACACTCTCTTGCGTTCTGCCCCAGTTCTTCCCCAACCCCAGCCTCTGGAGGCTGAAGCAGGCCTTGGAGAACAGGGACCACATTGTAGAGAAGCAGCTGAGGCGGCACAAGGTGGGAACCATGCGTGGACCGGGCTCCCCCTCAGCCCATAGCAGTGATGCTCCTGCCCCAGAGCTAGGCAGCTTCTTCGGCATCCCACCAGTCCTGGACCTGTTGCCACCCCCAGAACCCCTGCCCGAAGCCAGGTGCTCAGGCCTGCTCCTCCTCCCCTCCCCAGGAGAGCATGGTGGCCGGCCAGTGGAGGGACATGGTGGACTACATGCTCCAAGGGGTGGGGAGGCCAAGAGAGGGAGAGGGCCCTGGACAGCTCCTCGAAGGGCACGTGCATATGTCTGTGGTGGACCTTTTCATCGGTGGCACTGAGACCACGGCGATAACCCTTTCCTGGGCTGTGGCCTTCCTGCTTCACCACCCTGAGGTATGCTCTGGAGGCAGGCAAAAGGCTCCTTCCTGGCAGCCTGGCCAGGGCAGCAGGAACCCAGCTGGCTCCATCCTGATGTAGGCTGTGCTGGGGGGTGGGGGTGGGGGTGGGGAGGGGCTGGGGGGATGGGATGGTTTGGGAGGGGCTTCCCCTAATTGGCATGAAGTCTCCTGTGAGTTGCTCCAGGACGTGGTGGGAGGCTGGGCAGCTCCCTATAGGCCAGCGGCAGGGCTTGGACCCCTGATACCAGTCTTGACCCCTTCCCCAGATTCAGCAGCGACTGCAGGAGGAGCTGGATCGTGAGCTGGGCCCCAGAGCCTCAGGCGCCCGAGTCCCATTCAAGGACCGGGCTCGGCTGCCCTTGCTCAACGCCACCATCGCGGAGGTGCTGCGCCTGCGGCCCGTCGTGCCCTTGGCCTTGCCGCACCGCGCCACGCGGCGTAGCAGGTGACTCCCAAGGGGCAGGGATGAGCGGGGAAGGCCCCAGGGGTTCCCAGCCGGCCTCTAACTGCACCCCTCCCTCAGCATCTTCGGCTACGACATCCCCGAGGGCATGGTGGTCATCCCCAACCTCCAAGGCGCCCACCTGGACGAGACGGTCTGGGAGCAGCCTCACGAGTTCCGGCCGGGTGCGTGGCGAGGCGGGGGCCCGGGGCGTGGGGGCAGCGGAGGCTGGGGCTGGCGGCCGCTGAACCCCGGGTCTGTCCTTCCGCCTGCAGACCGCTTCCTGGGCCCGGGCGCCAACCCCTGCGTGTTGGCGTTTGGCTGCGGGGCGCGCGTGTGCCTGGGCGAGCCGCTGGCGCGCCTGGAGCTCTTCGTGGTGCTGGTGCACCTGCTCCGGGCCTTCACGCTGCTGCCTCCTGCTGGCGCCTTGCCCTCGCTGCAACCCTATCCCTACTGCGGCCTCAACCTCAAGATGCAGCCTTTCCAGGTGCGGCTGCAGCCTCGGGAGGCGGAGGCCCCGGGCCTGGGGAGTGCCAGTGACCAGTGACAGGGCAGGACTCGCGCCAGTCACGTGCCTCAGTTTCTCCTTTTATTGCTCCCATACAAACCTCGTCCCTCCCCCCTGTAAACATGGTGCTGTGAGATCGCGGGTGGAGAAGGCTTCTGCTGACGGCTGGATGGTGAACGTGGCCCCTGGCTCTTCTCTCAGCGCAACCCCTCAGTGCTCGGCAGTCATAGTGGGGCGCTGGAGGGGTGAGCAGCGGCTCAGCTTCCCCTGCCCGGGGGCCGGTAGCTTCTTGGTCTCAGCTTCATTTCCGTGAAGGGTATGGAGAAATCAAAGCCCTTCCAGTAGTACCAGCTCACCCCCTGGGAAGAGGGTTGTTGAAGGAGAGTCAAAGCCAGACAGCCCACCTGCTCCCACCTCTGCCCCCTTTGGGGAGATCGTTCCCAGAAAACAATCAACCATCCTCCCTCCCTTTTTTCTTCATAACCCTCGGCTACAAAGGACTGAGGCTGAATCCTACGCTGTCCTTTTACATCCAATAAATCATCCCCTCCTCAGGGTAAGTTGGTGAGATTGGCATTGTTCCATTTCACGGATGAGGGCCCAGGAGCACCTAGTGGCTCAGTGGCTTGTCCTGTCACACTGTATGTAACACACACCCCAGCAGGCCGAGCCCCAACCACCCCCAGCCCCGGGCTACCTCCCGGCCTCTCACCTGGTGATCCACTGTGCTCCCGTAGAGCCCATTGAGGTTGGCATAGTGGCAGTTCCTGTACCACCAGGCCCCGCGGTAAGAGACAGCACAGGAGATGAGCAAGTTGTTGGGGTCTCGGTCCCGGGCAGAGAAGACACTGCCGCTGTGGTAGCTCATAGAGTCCCCTGGGCAGGGAGTGGAAGGATCCGTGAGGACCTCCCCCACCCCTGCCCCATCCTCGCCTCCACCAGGCCCGCCCCCCTAGGCCCGCCCCTCACCTGCGGTGCCATGGTAGCCATCCAGGTGCAGGCGGTAGTACTCAGCAGCTGAGTCTACTTGGAAGGAGTCGTATTGGGCAAACACGGCCTCGTCCCCATCCCGCAGGTCCACACGCAAGGAGTAGTCGCCAGCTTTGGTCAAGCTGTGCAGGGCCTCATTGCCTGGGGGTGGGGAAGTGTGCACTCATCAGGGTCCTAGTGTCCACAGGGCCCTCATCACTTCCTGGTCCCCCAATCCCTGTGAGGCACTGACCCAGCCAGAACTCCCCAGAGAGGTTCCCAAAACCGTGGGCATAGTCCTCCCAGTCCCTCCAGAAGTCTGTTTTTCCATCCATGCGGCGCTGGAACACCTGGGAAGTGGGTGGGGGCACCATCAGCCTATGCCTCCTGGCACAGCCTTGCCCTGTACAGACCCCTGGGATTCCTGCTGCCACCCACCAGCCAGCCACCCCCGTCCGTCTCCATGTCACAAAACACGTTCAGGGGCCGCTCGCGGTTGCCGTTGAGGAAGATGGTGGTGGTCCTTGAAGTGCTGACCCCATTCTGCATCTCCTCCCCACAGTCCCGGGGGAAGGGGATCCGCAGTCCACCTGGGGAGAGGAGAGTGCCGGCCCAGTCCTTTCTCCAAACCCTAGACCCCTTCTACCCACTCAGCCTCCCGACCTCAGGTCCCAGCACCTGCGCACCAGTGGTGAAGGAGGTGGACACAGGCGGAGTGAAGCTCTGGCCCCACATGGCCCGGAGCCATGCGCTGTAGGGGGTGGAGGGAAAGAGACCTGACAGCTGGTGAGAGGTGACCCCTCCTGGGAGCAGGATCTCCTGTGGAACAGACAAGGGGCAGGTCAGGGGAGAAGGAGGTGGAGCCCCACTGGGAGCGGCAGAGGTGGCACCTCCTGGACTGGAACACAAGGAGGAGAGTTGGCCAAGGGGACAGGGGCCAGGGCACCTGGATCTGTCCTCCAGGGGTGTTGAAGCTGAGTAGGTAGCCAGTCGGGGTGACTTGGGGTGCAGTCCAAGTGAGCAGGACTGTGCGGGGGGTCACTTCCTTGGCCTCCAAGTTCTGGGGGGCCTCCAACCCTGGGCGGGGTGGAGGGACGAGAAGATGGAGACGAGGCCCCTCCTGGTTCCCTTTCACCCCCTCCCCCACCACCCCAGGTACCTTGCAGGCCGTACCTGTGGTGAAGGTGATGCTGGCTGGGGAGGTGAGGTTGGGGCCCCGAAGGCCGCGCAGGGTGGCTGTGTAGTTGGTGTGGAGCACCAGGTCATGCAGGGGGTAGTCCACAGCACTGCCAGGGGCTGAGGCCTGTAGAGAGGGGGCTGGGAGAGGGGGTGGGGCATCAGCTTCTGCCCTGTGAGAACCCAGCCTGCCCCTCCCTACCCTGAATAAGTCCTCTTCAGAGGCTTCAGCCCTGCTCACCCCCTGGGGCTGTGACCTTGACGTCATATGTATCCACTGGGGCCTGAGGGGGCTTCCAATGCAGCAGGGCAGATCCCTCCGTCAGGTTCAGTGCTCGCAGCTGGGTGGGGCCGTCAGGAACTGGGGGAAGGGAGGGGCTCAGAGCTGTGCCCTGCTGCTCTCCCCGCCCCTCACCTCCCAAACTCTGCTGTGCCTCCCCTCCACCACTGGAGCCTCCAACCCCCCCTTCCCCCTTCTGCGTTCACTCTCAACAACCACCTGTGCCCTCATTTTCTCCTGTTTCCTGCACTGTCCCATCAGCCTCACCTGTGGTAAGGAAGCCAGTGAGAGGCTCACTCTCCTCAAAGCCACGGACGGAGACCACGGTCACCTCGTAGCGAGCCCCTGGGATCAGCCCCTCTAGTTTCTGCGTCCGGGCTCGGCCGTCCACCTGCACGCTCAGTGGCTCCCCTGAAAACACAATGGGCTTGGGAGGTGGCCCAGGGAAGCAAGGAGGAACTGCAGGGTGGGCAGAGTGCAGGGCGCAGGAGGAAGGGTGCAAGCGAGGACACGGGCAAAAGGGTATCACCTCCATCTGCCAGTTGGTAGGACACTTTGAAGCTGTCCACTCTGGATGGTGGGGGTACCCAGCTGACCTTGGCTGAGGTCTCCCTGATTTCGCTGAACTGGAGGTCACGGGGGCTCTCCAGAACTGAGGGGAGACAGTGCAAAGGAATGATGGTGAGGACATGGGGCAGGGAGGTTCCCACCCCTGGATTCTCACCCCTCCTTCCTCTCCCTGGGCCTCGTGCCTCCAGACATACTCACCACCACCCCTTTCCTCCAGACCTAGAAATGGAAGCCACTCTGCTGGTTCCAAGCTCTCCACCACTCACCAACCTCCCCTCTGGCTGAGACACTAGGTCCCACCTTACTATGCAACAACCCCCACTTTGGAGCAGAGGGCATATGTGCCCAGCACAGGGCCTTACCTGGGCTGAGGGTACGGGCTGTGCCCTGGATGCTGTCTGCCTTGTGGGGCCCCCGCAGTCCATACAGTGTAAGGGTATATAGGGTCCCTGGACGCAGGTCCCGGAGCACGGCCGAGCGCCGTGTCCCTGGCACCGTCAGCTCCCGCTGCAGCAGGGGACGTGGATGTGGCTCCAGGGTGCTTGGTGATGGGACCCCAAATCGGAGCAGGAAGGAGTCAAAGGCTTCATGTGGGGCTTCCCAGTTGAGCCGCAGCGAACTGGTGGTCACGTCAGTCACCGACAGGTGGGACAGGCGGGGCCCTGGCTCTCCGGGGCTCTGACCAGCAGGAGCTGGCCCTGCAGAGTGAGTGGGAGAAAAGAGTTTGGAGACACAAGCACATCAGCTAGGTAACTTGGGGCAGGTCCCTTCTGCCACCTCACCTGGCCCCCATTTCCTCATCTGTAAAATGGACCTAATGAGGAGCCCGCACCCACTGGTAGGACCCATAATGGTGGCATGTGTGTGCAGAGCCAAGGGCTACTCGTGTGCCCCTCCCTCCCTCCGTGGGGCCCTCCTCCTGTTATTTCCCTATGGTCACCGCTTCTGGGCCCCCTCTTTCACCCTTTCAGTCCTAGACTAGAGGCAGGTGAGGTGGTACCTGTGGTGCCCTCGGCTGAGACGGGCCCCAGGCGCTTCCCTTCATGGAGGCCGTAGAGAAAGAATGTGTAGGAGGTGCTGGGCTCAAGACCTGACACCAGGATCTTGTTCTGGTTGCCGCCCACGAGCAAGGCCTGGGGCTGCGCATCTGTGTCCTGATACTGGACCACGAAGGAGTCAAAGGAGCCCCGGGCCACGCTCCATGAGAGACGCAGGGAGTCTGGGGACATGTCACTCACTGCCAGCGCCCCCAGGCGGGGCCCTTCAGGGGGCTCGGGGGCCTCTGTGGCCGAGTGCCAGGGGGCTGGCGTGTCCTCTTCTGGGGCTGTGTGGGAGAAACCCAGGGAGAAGCTGGGTGTGGGGGGGTGTGCAGCAGGGCCCTCCCACTCCACTCACCCTCCAGAGAGGGGACTCAGGGCTGGCCCAAGGCTGAGGTAGGGACTTTACGATCCTGGCCACGGCAGCCAAGTGGACAGAAGAGAGGGACTGAGGCTCTCCTAGCATCTTTCTTCTCTTGAATCTGCCACATCCCTGCTCTGGTCCCAACTTCTGCCAGCCCAGGGCCTCTCTGAGCACCAACCCATGGGCCCCACGACCCTCTGTGGGGCTCCTTTGCTCTGCCTGAATCTGCTGTTTGCTCTCCCCTCTTCGCCTCAATGTCTCATCGCACCCTATTTGAAATGTCTGCATAGGTCCCACTCCCTCCCCAACCCGCCAGGGCGCCTGTGCTGAGGGCCTGAGGCAGGACTAACCCAGTCACTCCCTGAGCACAGGGCACGTGGCCCTCCCTGCTGAGAAAAGCCGAGGATGGAACTGGCTGGTGAACTCGAAGGGCGAATCATGCCAGCCAGGTCTGGCCACATACCCATCGGGCTGAGTCGAGGTGGGTGGTAGTAAGTCTGGAAGAGGAGCCGGCCGCATCAGCATGGCCACTCCTATTGGTTTCTATGCCCCTTGCCTGCTTTGTTTTCCAGTAATTTTCCATTTGAGAAAATTCTCCTGACTCATCCATGGGAAGGGATTTGCCTTTATCTGGGCAAGGCCACCCTGCCAGGAGGTAAGAACTAGTCCATGAGAGTAATGGGGAGCAGCTGGCCGCACAGCGGCTGGGCAGGATTTGGGAAATTAGAGACCACTGCCAGAGCCTTGCCCTGCCACCTGTCCTGGCTCCTGCCTTTGATGGACCCTTGATCACTGCACTGTCAGCGCTGGCTCCGCTGCCCTTCCTCCTCCTGAGCCCTGAGCCCCTCAGCCCTCCACCTGGCCCACTGCTGCCAGTCCTTCAGCACAGAGGAGCGAGGAAACCCACTCAGGCGGGTTTGCCAGGGCCAAACAGGGCAACCTCCTGCTCACCTGTCACTCCCAGGACAGAGATAGGGCCCAGACGCTGTCCTCTGTGGAGCCCGTAGAGCAGAAACTTGTATTTCCTGCCAGGCTCCAGGCCCTCTATGGTGACCTCCCTCTGGTCTGCAGCCACAGGCACCACTCGGGGTTGCCTGTCTGTGTCCCTGAACTGGACCACAAAGGAGTCAAAGGGGCCCTGGGCCACCGTCCACAAGAGGCGCAGGGAGTCTAGGGTCTCATCCGTCACAGTCAGCTCCCCTAGGCGGGGTGGGGGCTGCCGCTCCTTCTCCAGGGGAGCTGTGGGGAGAGTGGGGGTGGGGGAGAAACCCTTAGTCAAGAGCTGCCTTTACCTCAGCCCTGGAAACTTCTGGGAGGAGGGAGGGTCTGGGAAGAGTCCCTGAAGTGTGGCTTCAGGGACACTCACCTGGGGAGACAGACACGCCTGCTTCAGCCCTGCCCTGAATGAAGGAGCCCTGTCTCCTCCTCTGGAGGCCACTGTCCAAACTCCTTCCTGCCCCCTCTCCCTCTCCTCTGTGATCAGGGTGCAGTAAACACATGAAAGATCACCCCGTCAGAGAAGGGCGGCTGGGATTGCAGAGAAGGGCTCAGTTTCCCCCAACCCCTGGCCCCCAGAGCAGGAACCAGAGCTGTGGTTCAGAGCTGAGAAAGGCCCCCAGAGGGTGTGTGGGTTGTCAGAGAGACGCCCCAAACAGTCAGGGCTGGGCTGGGCAGCCAGCCAAGCTCATGGGCTTCCATCACCCGGACTTGGACTCCCCTTCATTTGTTATCAGCCTGGGCCCTCCTTTCCACCTGCTTCCTGCACGAACACCACTAGACCCAGACGGCCAGGTGGGGCAGGGTGGGAAGCCAGGGGCAGAGCTGAGAGGGTAAAGGGCAGAGCAGAGCACAAAAGAGATTTGTCTAGGTGGGTGGGAGTGTTGACTGATAGGGGCTGGAGAAGCCTGTATCCAGTTTTCACAATTTGGGGGTTGGGGGAGATAATTATAGAGTCTGAGAGCCCCAAGCTCCAACTGGCCGTGTGCCCCATCCTTGTCTGGCCAAGGTGACTCATGGTCCTGGAGGTGTGGTAAGGGTCAGTGACCCACCTCCACCCCTTCCTTGGGGGGCTGAGTCATGGGCACAAGACACCAGATTTTTCCATAGTCTTCTGCAGCCAAACCCGCCCATATTTTCCACCTCTTGCCATAGAGGGAGGAGAATGTGAACATTTACTGAGTCCCAGTAGATATTATTCATAACCATTATGCAGGTGTGGAAACTGAGGTTCAAAAGAAACAAGTGGCTTGTCCAAGGCCACACAGCAGGCAATCAGAATTTCAACATACATCTGCTTGGCTCCAAAATCTGTAATCTTTTAATTACATTTCCAATCAGTGAGTAGAGGAAATAATGCATATAAAATGCTCTAAACAGTGCCTGACATTCAGTGGGGATGCAATAAAGATTTGCTTTTGGTGTTATGATTGTCATGCCAAGGCTGAAGGCAGGAGAATTGGCTTCATGGGAAAGCCCCAGGGCCAGTGCTGTGTGCTCAGATGAAAGGCGGCTCTGGAAAAGGTGAGAGGAGGGCCAGGGCTCACCTGTGCTGCCGTCAGCAGAGATGGGGCCCAGTCGCTTACTGCCTGCCAGCCCGTAGAGCAGAAACTTGTATTTCCTATTGGGCTCCAGGCCCGGGATGGTGATCTCGCGCTGGTCTGCGGCCACAGGCACCACGTGGGGCTGCCCGTCCCTGTCCTTGTACTGGACCACGAAGGAGTCGAATTCGCCCTCGGCGACTGTCCAGGACAGGATCATGGAGTCTGGGGTCATATCCGTCACTGTCAGCTCCCCCAGGCGGGGAGAAGGTTTCGTGTCTGGGACTGAAAAAGGGGGAGGTGCATGGAACATGACAGAAACGGAAGCAGGGGCCCCTCAGGATGCTAGGACTCTGGGCACTGGTTCTGGGAGCTGGGAGGGGACGACCAGGCCACTTGTCAGAAGACAGAGGCAGAAAAGTAGGGAGAAAAGAGGAGCCAGAGAAGAAAGCAGGTCCCTCGGGATGTAGGAGGAGTAGGTAGATGGGATGGGAATGAGGGGGTTGAGGGGTACTCAGGACCTGGATTTCACTGGACCCAGTAAATAAACAGGTCTGGAGTGTGAAGCACAGAAATGTGAAATTCCACAAGGGAGTAGAGGATTGTCAGGAGGCTCCAGGGGCACAGGCAGCCTCCAGCCCTCACTCACGGGTCTTTGCATCTGCAGAGACTGGGCCGTGTCGTTTCTCATCCTGGAGTCCAAAGAGTAGGAACTTGTACTTGCGGGCCGGGGCCAGACCTGAAACCGTGACCTCCCGGAGGTCTCCACCCACAGGCACTGCCTGGGGCTGTCCCTGCACATCCTTGTATTGGACCAGGAAGGAGTCAAAGGGGCCCTGGGCCACGGTCCACAAGAGGCGCACTGTGTCCGAGCCCACAGCTGCCACAGTCAGCTCTCTGAGTTGGGGTGGCAATGGGGGCTCTGTAGTCAGGGAGGCTGCAACAGAGCAGAGGGTGCTGAGGTTAATGGCAGGACCCTGGGCAAGAGAGGGAGTGCGGTTCCCAAACTATGAAATGAACATTTGGAACAAACTTGTGTAACGTGCTTAATGTGTTCCCGGCCTTGCTGTCAGCCATTCACAAACAGTGCACGTCATCCTCACATAACAGATGAAGGAGGTGCTTTTGTCATTATCACCCTCATCCTGCCTGGATCTGCAGCGCAGAGAGGTTAAGAAACATTTGAAAAATCACACCATCAGTACATTCAGAGCAGGATTCAAGCCCCTAAAATGCTCAGCCAGGGAGACTGAGGAAGCCACGTGGGAACAACTGAGCAAGTTTGAGGTTCCGGATTGAGAAGGAAGGAAGAAAGCTGAAAAGTGTGAGCACAGGCTGCACGCTCAGCTGACCCTGAACCCAGTCTCCATCAGTCCTCACTCAATTCAAGGATGAGGCAGGATCTTCAGCACCACAGGAGAAAAGAGAGGGACCCAGAGGCCCACTTTCAGGAGTGCTGAGATCCAAAGGGGTTAAACAAGAGAGCAAAAGAGGGAAACCTGGGGGCCAGGGCCTGTCCCTCACTCACCAGTCACA